AGTTAGTGAGACCCTATCTCAAAAAACCCTTCACAAAAATAGGGCTTGTGGAGTGGCTCAAGGTGAAGGCCCTGAGTTCAAGCCCCAGTACCATGGAAAACAAAACAAAACAAAAAAACTCTCAGAGTACCTGGGCACTGGTGACTTGGGTCTATAATCCTAGTTACCTGGGAGGCTGAGATCAGGAGGAGCAAAGTTTGAGGCCAGCCTGGGGAAATAGTTCTTGCTCCAAAATAATCAGAGCAAAATGTACTAGAGGCATAGCTCAAGCAGTACAGTGCCTGCTTTGCAAGCTCAAATCCCTCAGTTCAAACCAAATAAATAAATAAATAAATAAATACCAGGAGCAGGATATGTGATTCAGTGGCAAAGTATATGCTTAGTATACACAAGGCCCTGGGTTTGATCCACAGCATGGCAAAAAAAAAAAAAAAATAAGTACAATTACATTATATTAAAAGCAGGTATAACAAACAACCCAGATTTACCACTTCTAATTTCACTAGTTTACTATCATCATGTCCTTGAGGGTTTTTTGTTTTTCATTTTGTTTTACTTCTTGGGAGGGGGTTTGTAGTTTTCTGTTTTCTATACTGGGTTTTGAACTCAGGGTCTTGTGCTGCTAGGCAAGTGCTCTAACACAAGAGTCATCAGCCCATCCCTTTTGGCTTTTAGTTTATTGTTCGTTCAGACAGGTCTGATGCTTTGTCCCAGCTGACCTCAGCATGTGATCCTCTGCCCCTGTAGTTCCTCTGGGACTTTAAGTATGGACCACCAAACCTACTGTTTTGCCTGTAAGGTGGAAATTATACTTGTGTGCTACTGCTTGTTACTTCCTAATACAGTGACGTCAAGTGAGTAGCACAAAACTGGTCATTCTGGAAGTATTGCACCACGGAAGTAGGCAAATACAAATCCAGGCTTCGTGGATTACTGTGTAACTGTTACAGTAAAACAAAGGGGAAAAAAGAAGACTCAAGAGGAAAAGAGAAAATAGTAATTGTTAATAGCTAGAGATCACCAAAAGTCTGACAATCCTCAAAGACTCAGAAAGAATACAAGGGATGTTATTAAAAATCAGTTAATTAGCTGGGTATGGTGGTGCAAGTCTATAGTACCAGCGCTCAGGAGGCTGAGGCAGAAGGATCAGAGTCTGAGTGTGACCCTATCTCAAAACGCAAACAAAAATCAATCCTGAACACTGACAACACCAGTACCTGAGAATTAACTTTCATTGCTGATGGGAATTCAAGAGAGTACAGCCACTCTGGAAGAAATTGGGCATTTCTCACCAAACTAAGTATACTCTTACCACCTGATCCAGTAATCCCAATCCCACTCTATGGTATTTAACTAGGAGTTGAAAACTTAGGTTCACACAAAAACCTGAACACAGACACTTATGGCAGCCTGATTCACAACTGCCAAAGCTTGGAAGCAACAAACATGAGTGGACAAAGTCTGATACATCCAGAAAATAGAATATTACTCAGCACTGAAAATGAGCTATCAAGGCATGAAAAGTCATGGGGGGGACCTTAAATGCATATCACTAAGTGAAAGGAGCCATCTGAAAAGGCTGAATACCATATGATTTCAACCATCCAACATTCCAGAAAAGCCCTAACTACACAGACAATGAGCAGAGGAGTGGTTGATAGGGTTTGGGCGTGGTACCCATGAATAAGCAAAGCACAGAGGACTTTTAGATTTTCCATGGTGCTATCATGGTGGCCTCATGTCATTATACATTTGTCCAAACCCACAGAGCATCAACATCAATAGTGAACCTTAAACGATGGATTTTGTGTGGCTGTGATGTGTCCATCCTGAATTATCAACTGTGGCAAATGCACCACTCTAGTAGGATAGTGACAATGGAGGAGGGCATGCATGTGTCTGGGCAGAGGGTACATGGAAAATTCTGTACTTTCCTCTCAATTTTGCTGTGAATCTAAAACTAATCTTAAAAATTATATAGAGGAAAGTATCAATTAAAACTTAGCACATATGCACATATGAATAAAATAAAAATTTTTAAAAAATCATTCTTGAGAGGCACAGAGTGGATAAAGCAACATTAGATGGAAGGGGTTAAAAAACAGGTATAACTCAGAAGCTCTGAGCAATTATATATAAAGATTTATATGAATGTGACAAAGCAGTTTTCTCCTCTGAGGCTCCCAATTTAGTTTTGGAGAAACTGCCCAGTTTACAATTTTGTTGTAAACATTAAGTATGAAAAGAATATATAGATGTTTCAATGATAAGAACTCTTCAAATCACCAAGTATACAAGCTACAAGTACACACTAGTTTGCATGTTTTAAAAGTTTTTAAAGTCATTTTCTAAAGAAATAAGTCTTTATAAATGCATTCACCTTTTAAAAATCTAATATAGACCTTTTCTCACCTACCCTTAACATTTCAGGAAAAAGAAAAGAAAAAAAAAAAAAAACTTAGCACATACTCTATAACCCATTATAAAAAATGCAAGCCTCTGACAATAAGCAAATGAGTGGATGCCTGGAGCTGAGGAGAGATGAACTGCTAAGGGCACAAAGGGTCCTGCAGGCGACAGAGATGTCCTGTATTCTGACTGTGATGGATGAGTATACTCACATAACTGTAAAATGGTACATCTTTAATGGTGGTAGAGCTTATTTATTAAAGTATTCCTCCTGTCACATGATGGTACATGCCTGTAATCTCAGCACTCTGGAGACAAGGCAGGAAGACCGTGAGTTTGAGGCCAATCTGAGATAGTGAGACCCTGTCTTAAGAAAACAAGGGCTAGGAATGCAGCTCAGTAGTAGAGTGCTTGCCTATTTGCTGTGGGCAAGGACCTGGGTTTGATCCTCAACACCACAAAAAAAAGAAAAAAAAAAGTATCCTCCTAGAAACATAACAAGAAGAAAAAAATTAAACTCAAAATAATCAGGCATTTGGTACCTGTGTAACACATAATTAGCATAAATAGAAAACTTGAGTCAATGATCACAAACTTAGGGAACATAACCAAAATTCATTTCCCTCTGATAAGCTTTCAGTATCTACAGTCACTGTCACTTCTCACAACTCTCCCTCACCTCAACCCCTGCTATCCAGTTCCTCCCATCCACTCCTAACAACCTTGGAGAGGTTGTGGGAGAAATTTTATCGTCTGAACTTCCACTACTCCTGAATGTCCTGTATGCAATGATTCTATCTAGTCCGTCCATATCAAAGAAACACCAGGGCAGGGTGGCCTCCTCTCATCACCACGTTCCTCTTCCTCTGTCTATAATTTTGTTAGCATATTTATCACATTGTTCTGTAATAACTGACATTTTCCTGTTTCTCTTTTAGACTGGTGAACTCTGTGGGCAGGAAGTGAGCCTGTACATCTCTATAGCCTGAGAATCTTTCACAAAGCAGATCTGCAAATGAACGCTCTTCCTTTCTCATCTTGAATTATCAAAATGCTAACCAACCTGCAAAAATGCTATTAGTAAGTCTTTGAGCTTGGGGCTGTAGCTCAGTGGTACAGGTGCTCACCTATGGTGCACAAAGTCCTGGGTTCGATTCTTGACACTGCCAAAGGGGGAGGGACTTTAAAAATGAGATCATTGTCACTTGGTGAAGTGTGGCATGGCCTGCAATCCCAGGACCAAGGAGGCTAAGGCAAGAAGTTTTCACTTCAAGGGCTACACAGTGAGATCCTCCTGTCTCAGTAAATAAATAAAGTGGTAAAAACAAGGTCTTTCAAGGCTGGGAATGGCAACTCAGTAGTAGCAAGTGCTTAGCATCTGCCAGATCCTGGGTTTAATTCTCAGCAGCAAAAAAAAAAAAAACAAAACTGTCATTCAAACAGCTGGATGTAGTGGTACACACCTGTAATTCAAGGCAAACAGGAGATAGAAGGTAGAGGGACTGAGGACTGAGACCAGCCTCATGCACAAGCACGAGGCCCTGTCTGAAAAATGACTAAAGCAAAAAGGGCTGGTGGTGTGGCTCAAGTGGTGAGCGCCTGCCCAGCGAGTTCAAACCCCAGTACCACACACACAGAAAGGGGAAGGCCTTCTGAAACCCAGCTTAAATGCTAGTTCCTCCTGGAAGCAGTTCCTGGTTTCCTGGCTGGAACCTCTCACAATTTTGTCGGTGTGTCTAAGACACGAAGGTGACACAAAGCTAAGGCCTGAAGGACAGTAAGGGGGACAGGAAGGGAGCTGTGCACCTACTCCCCTAAACGGCAAACAGTGCAAAATCCAAGTCTAAGAAAAAAAAAAACAACCTTTAATAGTGAGCATTCTTCAGAGCTAAACACTGTAAAAAAGGAAAAAAAGAAAAGGCAAAAGGCAAAGTATGCTCCAGACACAATGAGTACAGAAAACAAAAAGGCGAAACCTTTTGTAATGATTAGAGAACTACAACGTGTCAACGTGTTCTCAGTACCCTTTGTCCTGGGTCCTAGAAGATGGAGACAAAGTAGGGCTTAAAGTCAAAATCAGGAAACCTACCTTCTAAGATCTCTGCGCCCCGAATGGGACCCAGACCTCAAGAGCACCCTCTTGGTGCTAAGTGGACCGAGGACATGAACAGTGACTGCTTCCACTCCGAGCTCAGTCAAAGTGGCTGCTGCCCGCTGGGGCCCGGCGGGGCCGGAGGGGTTGCGATGGACGCAGAACACGGGCTTTCGTGCGGTGTGCGGTCTGCAGTCGCCTTTCCCGGAGCCCCAGGGGACGGAGTAGCAGTGGACTGCTAAACTTCGTCCCTCTAAAACAGCAGGCGCCCTGCCGTTGCCATTGCTCTCTGCCTTGCCCGGAGCCATTATCCCCGCTGCGCCCAGGGCGGACCCCCAAACCATCTGGCGAGCAAGCGTAGGGGGCGGCGAAGAAACCGGACGACCCGGGCGTCAGACCACGCAGACCCTCACAACGCGGCCAAAGGTCCGCCGGACCCTGCAATGGCAGCGTCGAGGGGACAAGGGGACCCCGAGGATACAGTGGGGACCAACCTCACCTGCCTCTTGTTCATCCGCCGCACATCGTCCAGAAAGTCTAGAGATAGCATGGCGGGACCGGCGAGCGGGACACCGGCAGGAGAAAGGGGCGATAGGATCACGGGGCGGAACGGCTGGCGCACGGGCCGGGCTCACACTGGACAGGACCCGCGGCAGCTGCACTTCCGCTTCCGGGGCGGGGCGGAAGCTGGCGTTTTCCCCTTCTCTCTCCGCGCCCTCCCCGCTGCGGAAAGCAGACTAGCGTGACCCTTCTAGACCAGCCCGGGGCCTGAACTCGCCATCGAGTGCTTTGCTGCTCCTGCTCGCCCCTATCCCCGAACCGAGCAGAGCCCGCCTCCCGTGCTCCGCCCCGCCGCCGTCTCGGAGGCGGTGATCCGGGGTTACGTAGGCACGCAACTTCCGGAAGGCGGGCTCTCGTGCGCGTCTGACCAATCCGGAGCAGTCTCTCTGGCCCCGGCGGTCCGGAGCGGCTTGGCGTGGGCCTGGGGGTGGCGCTGGGTGTCGCTTGCCGTTTGCTCGCGGGTTGATCCCGCCACGATCCCGCGCTACGGAAAGCTGGCAACCGAGGCGTTTTCCACAGGTGCTTGTCGCGCAAGGGTGGCAGGTATTGGAGACTTTGGAGGCCCTGAAGCTCCCGGGAGTGTACAGTGTACTGGGCACCTGTGATAGGAGCGCCCACGATGCGAGTGGCCGGAAGCCCCTCACCCAGCCTTGACCCCGGCTCCCTGGGCTCTCTTCTTGAGCTCTGCCTTCTGGCACCGCGACGTGCCTGGCGCTCTTCTTGCTGCCTGGGGTCTCCTCTCTCCATAAGCATCGTTTGTTTAACCTTGGGGAAGTAAGGAGTGACTGGTGATGGCCATGGAGTTCCTTTCCTAACGATAGTTGTGCAACGCTGTGAATAGGCTGAAAACCGTGGAATTACACACTTTAAATCGGTGAATTGCATGCCATGTGAATTATAACAAAAAGCTGTGATGACAAAGCAAAAGAAACCATTGGTGTCTTTCTTGTTCACTGGGAAATTCCCAACGGGGTACACACAGCCTGCCCTATATGAGGAATGCAGTACTTACTGAATTTAAAATCTGTGTATGTGTGTGTAATCTCGAGCTGCTGCCCCTCGGCACTCCAGACTTGTGGAGTTGGGAAATGAATTCTTGATCTCTCCACATTAGGAAGAAAATCCTAAGAAAGAAAATGCATTGTAAACTGCCTCAGGGCAGGATTCTTGTCCATCTTCTATTCCGGTTTCTGTAACAGCGCTAGGCGTGAAGTAGATACTTAATAATTACCTGTTAATAAATGTCGGAAGATGGGTGCTACTCTCAATTCGGGCTGGTAGGGCCTTCGATCTACGTTGGTAATTTGAATTCCATGTAAAGGTGAGCGTCAACAACCATTTAAGTGGGTGTGAGCTGCAGTACACCTCCTGTATGGTGAAGAGTTTTACAGAAAGCACCAACCTTGGGGATCTGCAGACGTGGAAGAAGTCAGCTTAGTTGGGAGCTTCATGGGGAGCTTAAAAAGAGTCTCATAGGGGAGAACATATTTGAAATATGAGTAAAGTGCACTGAGTAGGTAAATTTAGCAGACAGAAGCATATACGGAGTAAGGAGAATTTAGGCACAAAAGTACAGAGGCAGGAACATATTTGAATAATTCACTTTCTTTTCCCAATCCTATCCTTACATGAAGGAAGCAGTCTAGTCTGGCTTGCAGGTGCTCTTTGGCCAGTGAGGAGACAGGCCAACCTGAAACGTCACTTGTTGGATATACACAATTTCCACTCATGGCTACATCCAGGTGCTGCTCTACATCTGAAACCTAGACTCCCATAACCTACCTTCTGAAGGATAATTTTTTTTTATTCCTCTGTATATTTCTTTTTCTGGGGTGGGGGAATGGGAGTTGAGACAGGGTCTCACTATACAGTTCAATCTATCCTGGAACTTGCTGTGTAGCCCAGGCTGGCTTCGAACTTGAAATCCTGCTGCCTCACCACCACCCCCACGTGCTTGGATGACAAGTATGCACCATCATGCCTGACTTTGTATATTTTAAATTATACAAATAATACATGAGTGTATTCTCACTGTAAATGACTAAAACAAGGTAACTGGGCTGTGTGTGGTGTCACATGCCTGTAGTCCCAGCTACTTGGGAAGATGAGGCAGGAGGATTGCTTGAGCCCAGGAGTTCAGGGCCAGCCTGGGCAGCATAGTAAGAACCATCTCAAACTCAAAACAAAGAAAGCAATCCGGCAGTTCCACTTCTGGGTTTGTAGTCTGGAGAATTGAAAGCCAGGTCTTAGATTTGTACATCCATGTTCATGTTGATACTGTTTTTATTAGTCAAAAGGTGGAAGTAAACTAAATACTGTGGATAGATGAATGAATAAACAAAAGCATATACACATAATGGAATATGTGGATGAAACTTGAGGGCATTTTATTATGTGAACTAAGCTAGTCACAAAAAAAAAAAAAATTGCTGGGGCTGACACATGGCTCACGCCTGTGAGCCTAGCAATGTGGGAGACAGAGATCAGAAGGATTTTGAGTTTCAGGCCAACCTGGTCTACATAGTAATACATTGTCTCAAAAAAACAACAGGCCTGGGAGCATGGCTCAAGTGGTAGAACACCTGCCCAGCAAGCATGAGGTGCTGAGTTCAAACCCCAGAACCACAAAAAAAAAAAAAAAAAAAAAAAAACTTTTAACTTATATTGGCTTTTTATAATTTAATAGACTGGAGTTAAACCAACGTGTTGTTTCACTCATTTATGTGATATTACTTATTTGCTAAATTTGAAATTTGTTACATTTTATTCTCAACTTACAAAAATGGATCAGGAACTCAATCTAATTGTTTGAAAGTTAATTAAGTCAGGATGTTGAGCTGTACTTTTAAACTTAGAAAAAAAGTTATAAGTGAAACATTGACCAAAAATCCAATACAAATAAATACACAGGATGAATGTGACTGTACTTGGCTGCGTGATCCAGGTGTGATGTTTTCTGGTGAACAGCTGAAAAAAAAAACTAATAGGGAATATGATAAGCTTCTGGGAAGCAAGTTTTAGTAAGCTGGTGACCTGTTTGCTCTGTAGTCCCAAGTACTCAGGAGGCTGAGGCATGAGGCTCAGGAGGGAAAGAGAAAAGAAGGGAAGATAAGAAGAGAGAAAAGAAAAGAGTGGCATAAAGCCAAGGAAGCTTTAGGGCCATTTAAAAAAAAAAAAAAAGTCCAGTGCAGTGGCTCACTCCTGTAATCCTAGCTACTCAAGAGGCAGAGATCAGGAGGATTGCGATTTGAAGCCAGCCCTAGGCAGATAGTTCTCAAGAGCCTATCTCGAAAAAAATCCATCACAAAAAAGGGCTGGTGGAGTGGCTCAAGGTGAAGGCCCTGAGTTCAAGCCCCAGTACCACAAAAAAACTAGAAAAGCTCCATAGCCAATTTAGTACAATTTGATTTTTCTAGGGGGGTAAAAATCACAGGATAATGCTTGCTCATGTAGCATTTGCGATATTTCTTTCTAAAGATTACAGTGTCATTAAAGCTCTCCTTTAAAATCATTTTTCCTTGTCAAAATAGTGACAGGTCACATTCCTGCCAAGGTCTTAAAGCCAGTGATGGTGTTAATGATGAATGCTTGGTAGGAGAGCTAAATAATCTTTTGGCAAAATTCCTTTACCAAAAAATGCTGTTGGAAATAAGCAAAAAAAAAAAAAAGGCCACTGCACAGCAAGTGTGGAGTGTGGAGGAGCACACTGTTTAGAGTTATCTAGAAAGAGAAAATTTAAAAAAGGTTGCCTAGAACTGCTGCAGAAAGTTCTCCAGCTGGGCTAGATCTTGGAAACCATCTCACTATGCCCCTCATTTTTAATGATATTCTGAATTAGTTACCTAATTTGTTATTACCCCCAAAACTTAGTAACTTAAAGTAATAAACGCTATCTAACAGTTTCTGTCCATAATATGGTTGGGATCAGCCTAGCTGGATGGTTTGGGCTTGATGTCTCCTGAAGTTATAGTCAAGCTGTCCTGAGGGCTGAAGGCCTGTGTGGGGGAGGAGCTGCTCCACTTATACAATTGTGAGTAGTTTTTAGTTCTTCCTGGGCTATTGGATTAAAGCAGCATTTCCTGGTTGGCAGTTGACCAAACTGGTCTTTCCTCAGTTTCTCATCTGTGGGCCTCTCTATCAGACAACTTGCAACATAACAGCTGGCTTCTACTAGAGCAAATGACCCAAGAAAGACCCAAGACTAGGGTGACCTACTTGTCCTTGATACCAGAGTGGGGTCTTTTCACACAGAAGCAATAAAAATGAGTGAGCCAAATGTCAGGAACAAGATAGGCAAGACTTCTTTATTAGAACATCAGCTCACCAGCGGAAGGGAGCTGGCACTGTCCCTGAGCAAAGGAAGAGGCAAGTTTTTTATTGATTGGGGCAGGCAAATCTGATAATGTTCCATTGGTCATGGGCACAAATTCAAGGGATGTTTTCTTCCTTGTGTGCAAACATCCTGACCTTGACTGAGGTTTGCAGGCTAACAGCCAGTAGACTCAACCAAGTAACTGCTAAGGTCCTCCTGCCGTGGATGTTGTGATCTTCCAAAAATGTCCTGGCCTGGTTTGGTCTGGGCCTTATGATAGAGCTGAGGACTTTCAGTGCTGGTATTGGAGAAAAGCACAAGGGTGGGGTAGAAGAAACAGGCCAACTCCAATGGGCAACAGACCAAGTTAACCTTGTATTAAGCCTTGAACAGAAATTTATTTTTTGAGGGGCTGAGATTGAACCCAGGGCTTTGCACATGGTAGGCAAGTTCTCTACCACTTGAACTATTCCCCCAGGGGATTTTTTTTATATTTTGTTTTTGAGATGATAGGGTCTCGATAACTTTACTTGGTCAGGCTTTTAACTTTGGATCTTCCTGCCTCCATCTCCCAAGTACCTGGGATTACAAATGTGCCCACCACACCTCTTTTATTTTTGAGGCAGGATTTCAGGTGGTTGTCCAGGCTGGGCTGGAATTCTCTATGTAGGTCAGGCTGGCCTCAAACTTGAAATCCTCCTGCCTTAGCCTCCTCAGCACTGGGATTGCAGGCATTCATCACCACACCTAGCAAAATATTTTTTTAAATGATCAACATGTCTGCATGCAGAACTGTATAGAATCTCGCCCAAAGGCTAAGGCAGCAAAGGGACAGACATGTTATGAAGACAGAGATACAAAGCCTTTTTATCCCATTTCAGTCATCCATCACACATCTGTAGGCCCAACTGAAGTCGGTATTTTCAGAAAAAGTGGCCTTCAAGTTTCTGC